GGATTAAAATCTCTAGAACGCAGGATGAAATTGTACTTTCACAATCTCACTACATAGAAAAAGTACTTAAAAAGATTAACGTGTTTAAGGAAAGTCCTGCGAGAACTCCTCTTGATCCGATTATGGACTTAGTCAAGAATACGGGAGAAAGCATATCACAACTAAGGTATTCACAAATAATTGGCAGTCTTATGTATATTACAAACTGCACTCGACCGAATATTGCTTTTGCAGTGAATAAACTTAGTAGATTTACAAGTAATCCAAACCGTGATCATTGGAAGGCTTTGACGAGGGTTCTAAGGTACATGAAATATATCTTAACCTATGAATTACATTTCACAAAATATCCTACAGTACTAGAAGGATATTGTGATGTGAATCGAATATCTAATATGAAGAATTCCAAGTCCACTAGTGGTTATGTATTCATCATTGGTGGAGCTGCTATATCATGGAAATCAACAAAGCAAACGTGCATAGATTAACGATGGAATCTGAGTTTATTGCTTTGGACAAAGCTGGAGAAGAAGCAGAATGACTTCGAAATTTCTTAGAAGATATTCCGTGTTGGCCCAAGCCAGTACCTGCGATAAGTACATTGTGATAGTCAATCAGCAATTGGAAGGGCTCGAAACAGTATGTATAATGGTAAGTCTAGACATATTCGTCATAAACACAACACCATTAAGTAACTGATCTCAAATGGCGCTATCTCCATAGATTATGTGAAATCAAACGAGAATATTGCGGATCCACTTAAGAAAAGTTTGCTTAGAGATCAAGTGCATTACCTATTGAGAGGAATGAGATTAAAGCCTACTACGTAAGAGTTTTTGTAATGGTAACCCTACCTTATTGACCGGAGATCCCAAGATCTTGGTTCAAAGGGACAACCAAGTTGTAAAAATTTCATGAAGCACTTAGGAAATTAGAATTCCTTACTCATTCCTATGATACTAAAGTGCTTTTTGCAGAGTGGATAAAAGCTAAGATTATCTTTTAATGATTCTTATATCTTGATTAAGTCAAGTGGAGTAGGGTAGAATACTCTTAATAGGAGGTCACCTATGTAAGTGTGAAATGAGGCCGCTTCGATAAGAATTGTTTAAGATTTGAATTCTCTAAATACTTATGAAACCAAGAAGGGTTCAGGGCCAAAATGAACCAAATCATGAGAACTAAGTACAAAATAGGGAAGATATCCGTGTGAGTATTGTTGTCTTGACTTACACCAAAGGATGAGTGGTTCAAGACCTATGGTTCACCAATTAGTCGAGTAAGTCCGATAGTATTTCACTAAGGAAGGTTCAAGGCCAAAAGCCACCATCCCTGATACAGTATTTTTTCGCGCCCTCTCTACATTGCATCATATCATCGCATTTGCATATGCGTACCCGAATTTTCATTCATGTGGGGGATTGTAGGAATTGGTTCAAATAATTAACCAAAAATTGAAAAATGAAATGGTGTGTAAAAGTGAAAAATGAAAAGGTGTGACTACGTGTCAACTTCGACCAAATATTCGGATTTGATCCGATGGTCAAATTACAAAAGTAGATAGAAATCTTATTCTACTCGTCGAGTAGATCGTCGTGGTATATTTGGAATCTCGAAACCAATTTTGGATGAATGAGAAATTGCAGACCAAAGTTGGAAGAAACGAAGTATTACAATCTTTTGAAATAATGCAGGTTTTGGCCAAGTGTTGCAACTTTTCGAAAAGATGCATGTTTTGGCCCACACTACTTCATTTGCACCCTTTTTACATCTATAAATAGAACCCTATGAACATGGTTTTGGGTACACCAATTGCATTGAGCATTCATTCTCCTATTACAATTCTCTCGTTTCTAATTCCATAACATTTTCATGCATTTCCTTTGTAGAGGGAAAATTCTGGCAAAAGTTCGTCAGTTTCTTGTGGTTTGAAGTACTGCTACCACAAGTTGTAAATTTATTGTATATTGGGAGACAAGTGTCATTCACCGTGAGCATCGTAGCGGGGTAATTTATCTTAAGGAAAGTGATAACGTTTCGTCTTGGATTATTCTCTATTTCTACTTCTTTTTAATCCTTGTTTGCGTAATCGTTATACTAAAACTTTGTCCAAATTTTCATTCATATAAATTGTGTTTTGATTACGCTCTTGCGGGTTAAAACTTATCATACAAATATATCAAAAATCAACTCTTACATAGCCCTTTTTATAAGTCATCTTCAACATCGCTCACGAACTTGATCCTTATTCCTACGATCGCGTCAAAAATATTTTTGATCACTTTGTCCACGATAATATTGCCTATTATGAGACACTTCAGAATTAGGGTTAGTCAAACGAGGGGTTCGCTTAAAATTGCTCAACTTAGCCGCTAGGTTCTTTTTCTCCTCACGAGTAGCAGTTATATCTATTGGACAGTCGATAGGCTAGTGGCAAGTTGCGCTTATTGTCTAGTGAGTGCATCAAATTGGGATGGATCCATGGTCAATGTATTGAAAATAGAAACGACAAGACAACCACTACACAACTACATGCAATGTAATACTAGCTAAATGACGTGCAATGGTCAGATTAATGAACAATAAACGCAAGCAGTGAAAAATAACAAATTAAGCATTTTTTTTTTCAGGGTTAAGTAAATTCAAATATGGCAAGCTAATACTGCTAATCTATGTAAAATAATAAAGCACGGATCAAATACTAATGAAAACCTGATCATGTAATAGAAGTGGGCTAAAATACGGTTTTGACGAAATCAACGGATTCCGTCACATGACTTTCGGTAGATTGTTAGAATAACATCACAAAAATTTAATCAATGCTATTTTAAATGAAGCAGTATTATAAACCAATGACAAATAGAAATCAAGCACTCCCTGTTGTTTAGTTGTAACGTTGGTGCCCACGGAAGCTTAAACCTGATGGAACCCAAAGAATCAAAACTGTGCCCAATTATGATTTCCCAGTTGGCACGTCTCCAGTAGAAAATTATAATGGAATACTCCTAAGCAGTTGAGTCGTTGAATGGAACACTAATCCTCAAGAGTTTAACAAGCTGCCCCAATGCAAATAATAGGCCAAATCCAATTCAAAGAATGTCCGGGGCACTCTGAACTCAGAAGAAGTCCACCGACGTGAAAACTAAAGCAAAACTGAACTCCGGGTGGTGGATGATAACTGGCGTGGCAGTGGGTTGCTGGCAATTGGTGGTGAGGGTGGTCGTGGAAAGTATGGTGATTGTGGGTTAATCTGGACGAGTGGTGGGTGTGTGGTGAGGGCAACGGCTGCTTTGACTGTGTTGGTAGGTGGTGGAGTGGCGTTTGGTCTGAACGTAAAGGTGGTGGTGGTGCGACTTGCAGTTTGAGTCTTCTAGTATACTGTATTGCCGGTTTGTGGGTGAGGTGATGGACGTGGTGGCTTGTGGTTGTTAGGGCTTGGGTCGGTCGGCGGTTGTGTAGGTGCTGGCGGTGAAGATTGAGGTGCAACGCCGTTGCGATTGAGACAACCGGTGGTGCGTGCTACGTTAGGGAGGTGACGGTGTTGTAGAAGATAGGTTAGAGTGGACTGGGTTTCTTATGTAAAATGGGCTAGAATAGGTATGGGTCGGGTTTCTGGAAGTGGATAAGAGCTAATGGGTAGCTAAATTGGGCTGGAATATGTAATGGGTATGGGCTTACAGGAAAAATGTATTTGTGGTATATAGACTGCTATAGAGTTGGGTTGGCGGGAGGTGGGCTAACTTTGTAAATGGGCTAACTTATGAAAAGGCTCTAGGGCTTGTATAGCAACACACAACAGAAAAACTGAGAGAAAATTGATGAAATACTAAAGCTGAATTTTTTTTTTTAAGATTTTTTTTCCTGGGTGAACAGTAATTTTTTTCCGCTCCTTTTTTTTTTTTTTTTTTTTTTAAATAAAAAAAAAAAAAAAACTTTTGCCTCAAAAAAATTTTTTGTTAACTAAGAAAGAAAAGAAAACTGTTGCCTCAAACAAATTATTTCGTTCGTGTTGCTCTACAAGGGTTTTGGGAAGAGAATGTGAAGAAAAGTTTTGAATTGTAAATGAGAAGTTACCCAAGTTTTGGCTCCAATACCAAATTTGATGCAGGACGAATTAAAGAATAGAAAGAAGAAGCAAGAAGGGAGGGAGAAACCACAGAGAATGGGGGGAGAAATCGGAAAAGAGGGAGAAATCAGGGAGGAGGAAGAAGCCATAGGCAACAAACCACCAAAATATTCTTCAATTCATCAGAAATAATGAAGTTACATAGGAAATTATGTTTAAATAGTAAAGAGAAAACTCTAACTAGAATGGGTTTGGGCCGATACAAGCCCAATTACATAAATAAGAATCCAAAACTAAAATAAAGTCCAATTAGAAATAAATAAAATAGATGATGTCCTCATCAGTATTGTATGTTTGGCTACCTAGAAAATTGATTACATTTTAGGAGCCCATTTAAACACATCACTGATGTTCAGTGAGTTGGCGTGAATGGACTTCATAAAAAGTTGATTTCTGAGGAATCTACTTGAGAAAGCCATGGTCTCAGTTCACGTCTTGTGTACAGAGGTAGCAAAATCTCAAGACAATCAAAGGCCTTTTTTTCTTTCTTTCTTTTTTTTTTTTCCCTCTCTCTCTCTCTCTCTCTCTCTTTTTCATCCTTACCCTCCCAAAGTTGAGGGTCAAACCGATGCCAATGACCTAGTAAGACTTCGCTTTTACCACTTTAGTTAGTCCTTGGTCTCCTCAAAGACACGAGTTTATCAAATACATGATACTGTTTAAAGCACTTCTTGCCTAGAATACTATGTCTCTAGCTCCCTCCCTTTCTCTATTTGAGAAACACCAACAGATAAATGATCATCTGTTTGCAGGAATATTTGGTTACCAGCATTTATTATTGTATTGCCTAGAAGAATGATAAAATCATTTCATATGGACTCGATTTGTGCAAGTTGAACATTGTTTAATGGTTTTCATTCATTTTTATTTTTAGGTGTGGCGGCTGATTACAAACTTCCTTTTTTTATTTTTGGCAAATATTCTATCAATTTGGATTCGCCTCTTAATGATGTATGAGCACTACATTCTAATTCATACCAGTTAAACCAATTAAGATTCACTTCTGCGATATTATAAGCTTTGCCTGTGTACTGTGGAATCTTAGGTAGTTATGACATGCTATTGGATTAAGATATCCATGCATCAATGCTTTGTGTAATTGATTTTTGTAGAGCAAGATATGGAGTCCAACTGGAAAATGGACCTTTCCAAAGACGCATAGCAGATTTCTTGTGGATGATGATTTTTGGAGCTTTGTCACTATTGGTATGTAAGATTCTCTCTCACACCCCCTCTCTGTGTGTGCGCATACAAGCTGAAACTGCCACATGTCACTCTTTCTTCTCAGTAAATTGGTTAACATTAGAGGCAGTTTATTTGGGCAGGGAATAGGTTAAACATATTACATAAAAGATGTTTTGTGTTTCTCTCTTCACTCAATCTCATCTTTCTTTCCATTGCCTCATCCCTGTCCTTGTTGTGTCAGTTTCTTCACTTCTAGTACAAAAATTCACATCAAGATTTTTTACATAATACAATTTATATGGATAAATGTTATGGCATCTTGTATATAACGCGTTTTTACCTGCATGTTTAGGTTCTATCTGCAATACCCTTCTTCAGGTCCTATATCTTAGGGATATCACTTGTTTTCATGCTTCTATATGTCTGGAGTAGAGAACATCCAGATGCCACCATCAACATATACAGCCTTGTGTCTCTTAAGGTAATTTTATTTCTGGATATTTTGGATTATGCACCTGTTAATGACATATATGGGTTTTTAAGTATTATTTATGATGTATTGCATAATTGTTTCCTCGCAGGCATTTTATCTACCATGGGCCATGCTCTGTTTGGATGTTATTTTTGGTTCTCCAATTGTGCCAGATCTTTTAGGAATTATCGCAGGACATCTCTATTACTTCCTGACTGTGTTGCATCCAATGGCGGGTGGGAAAAACATATTGAAAACTCCAGTTTTGATGTATCCTTTTGTTCAGTTTCTTCAAGGGACATCATGCATACACTTCACACACAAAAGCTTTCGTGCACACAGTCGAACTGCCTCTCCTCTCATGAGGAGGCCAATAGTAATCTTGACATTTCTTCAGTGTGAGAGATCGTCCCAGCTTAGAAACATTGTGTTAGCTACAGTGGCATAATTGTTTTTGTCATCGTTTCTTCCAACCGCAAAACCAGATTCTAGATGGGTGGAAATAAACAAAAACAACTGAAAGTTTCAAGTAATATAACTTAAAAGGTTACTTGTGTGAGAGAGAGAAGAACAAATGAAATTGAAATTTTCTGCTGATGGTTGCTCACTCCACGTTTGCTTTTATTCTGTCAATTTCTTTTAACTGCCGCTTCACAGACAGAACCTAGTTGCACGATGGAGAATTGGAGCTCCAGGAAATTACTCCTCCCAGCCTGAAAGAACTTCTGGTGGGGCATTCAGGGGAAGATCTTACCGACTTGCTCGATAATGTTTCCTCTCTATCTATCTATATGTGAACATCAAAAATCATATCGAGTTTGTGCACATGTTGAATTACTGCTGACAAGGGAAAAGAGGTATTGTCTATGTGATCCAAATTTGAGCATCGAAGTTGCAAGGTGTACACTCTTTTCATCTACGCATTTTCATAGTATTTTTTAGGAGGAAAATCATTGATAGAAACACTGAATCAACCTATATAAATGGTAGTACTTAAGATTCCGTACAAGTACCTTCACGTTTCATATACTTGTAAATAGAACATTGTGATCGTATATTATAAACCAATCAAGAAAACAGATATACCTCATTTGTTTTAGGGATTCAAAACCATCCAAGAATTTTCCCATTGATATATGTTCTTTAAGGTCATTCAGATTACTGTTAGATTTGACTCAAGCACGTTAAAATAAGTGAGCTGGCTCATTGAAAACAAAAATAAGTGAGCTGGCTCGTTGAAAACAAGTTTGGGAGTGGTTTATAATTATAGATACATGGTGGATAAGTGGGTAACAAATGGACATTTCATGAAAGGATAACGCTTCTTTTGAGCCGTGCATGCCCATCAAAAGCCAACGTGACAGTAGGTCACTATTATCTTCATCAATGAGTTAGAATACATCATAAATTTATAAGAGTGATAGTTACCTTATTGTCATTTAGACTGCTGATAGGTAATAACAATTACAAATAACATCACAAGATGTGTAGATAAAAAGTGATTTATTCGATTACATTACATGTGCATGTTGCTAAGTTAAAGCTCATTAGAAATATTATCTGAAACTTAACAACTATCCATTGCCAATTGTCAAACCCAATTTCCTAATAATAGCCCACACTTGTGAAAAGTTCAAATCCAATCACTATATCCGTATCCATAATCCCATAATCCATTTACTGATTTACCCAAATCTAATCCAACTTATATAATGATTTCCAATATTCCCAAATCAAAATTCCATTTTTCCCACACTTTCAATTGCTAAATGTGAGTTGTGACTCATTTATCTTTTTGCTCTTCTACTTTCCAGTTTTCTCTTCGCCATTGACCCTCCACCCAGCTGTCCCTCTACAGCTCGGCCCCTGCTATATAGGTCCGACCCTGCTATTACTCGACTATGGATAACAATGAAAAATTTCATTTTTGACTCCATAGTTCGAAATGTCTAGTCCCCCATATAGCAATCTTGATTTTATACAGAGAAAAAAAGGACAAAATTACATCTAAACTCTCAATATAACCAGCAATTAGACTAACAATAGAAACATAATTTGACGAGTATCTTCTACAACATATTTCTTCTTTTAGGATGTCATGGCCGTGGATAAAGGTGTTAGAAAGGAACTAGAAGAATTAGATGGAAGCATTGGATCTAGTGTATCTTGAATTTGATGTAAGTTGTGGAGCCTAATTATTATCGTTACTAGAAATTGATACATAGATCGACCTTGAGGTGTCATTAGGAATTTAAATATATATAATGTAAAATTTTCATACTTGTAATTTTGATTTTGCACTAGTTTTTCTTATAAATAGGAAACTGTCAAAAGAGCTTTAAATATAAATCATCATCAAAGGATAGAGGTTATGAAAAATATGGTGTGCAATTTTTTTTCTCTTGTAAACTTATTTCATCATCGTGAATCACATAGTGATGAAAGAATACGTAGTCTTATATTGAGATAAACCTCTATAAATCTTACACGTTCTTTCGTTTCTTTTTCTTTACTGTGATTTTATTGCTCTTGATGGTGCAGAATTATAGTTCTAACTCTCGACACTTGAATGCAAAACAAAATATGTAGAACATATGGAGCAAATGTTCTTGGCAACTAGTGCAAAAAGAATGAATAATTCTATTTGTAAACTCCAAAAGTGTACTGAATTGTTTACCCCCTCTCACATGCTCGTGGGATCTACGTGAATAAAAAAAAAATTTCAAAATTTGGTCCACACCCCCTGTTGTGAGTAGTCGTAAGGGATTAGGTAAAAAAATTCGATACATGTAGCATGGTCCAAGAACAATATATGGATCAAATTTCACTATAATCGAGAAAACAACTACAAAATTTACAGGACATTTTTCACTAGGCTGAATCTCGCTAAACAAAATGAATCACATAATTTCGAGACTCTCAATGTATTGGTATGTTTCTGAAGCTACATGAGAAATCCAGTTCGCTGTTGTATGAAAAAAGAGTTCCCGAAACCCGAGATCCAATGCAGTTATGCATTGCTATTGTTCAGCTATTGTTTTCAGATAAGGAAAGGATTTACTTGTAATATGCTTATTTGTGACTGACCAAGCAGTAATCCACTTCACTTGGGAGGAAACGAGATCAAACTCCTCCCCTAAATCGGGCATGTGCACAGTTCACAATACTTTACTGTCTAAAAAAATAACTCAGAGCAAGTATGACAACAAAATGTATATTCAGTGCATGTTTGGTAAGGCTTAACTTTTAATTTAAGTTGGTCACCACAACTTACTATTCACATATCCATAGAATCAACAACTTATAAGCACTTAAAAACACTACAAAACAATCACTAATAGTCTAATATTCATGTCATAAGATCCAATAGTTTTCAGCTGAAAAGTTTTCACAAGAGCATTGGACTTAAATTGGTCTAAATAATAGTATTAACCAAAATCTGCAAAACCTAACATTTGCAGATCCTCTCAATACAACTAAAGATTATATGGGAAATAATAAATCGTAATAACAATAATTCATCATAATCAAATTGTATCTCAATGGCGACTGAACTACGCACCGTGTTATCCTTTCATTGCTCATGTCGACATCATTTGTTGAATCTAACGAATTTTCCACTTGGGTGATAAATTGGTAACACGGTACATAATTCAGTGACTATCAAGATACATTTTAGTTATTAAGTAGTAGCATTTAGTATAATTCAGTGACCATTCAAATAATTAACCCATTTTAGCTCTATTTTCTTTGGGAAATCGAACATTCAATCCTCAACCTTTAATTATCTATTTTTTAGTCATCTACCATCAAATTTGGCCTTTTAAACCCAAAACATTTATCAACTATAGTAGAATTAGGTTACTAAATTTCAATCTTTAAAATTCAATTGACTCACCAGACTTTAATTTAGTATAATATTACTACCCCATCACATTCACAGAAATTACTCCTTTAATAGTCGTATTGTGATGCATCATTCACAAGTAAGCACGATGAGTTGTAGACCCAGCGAACTTCATTACCCAGTTGGCCCAACAACCATGAACTGTGTGAGCCTTACTGTAGAACATGCACTGATTATGGCGCTTAACAATCATAAACTTTGTGAATCTAGGTATGACAAAAATACCCGTCAAATTCGATACCCCCGAGGTCCCACTCTGAACGGGATGGGGATCACCCGCCTAATTGAGTAATCAAGTCGGGTACGGGGAGGGGAATTCCTCCTCAAGGCCGGTACAGGTAACAAGGTCCCATTCCTCCTCTTGTTTAATTTATTTACTTTTAAATATAGAATTCAATATTTTAATTGGAAAAACGACACGAAATTTCATTAATTCTAATAGAAAATAAATAATATGATAAATAATAAAAATCTTAATTTACAAAATATATTCAAATAATTTAACTTTTAAAAATAAATAAATTAATTGAAAATTTTAATAATTATATTATTGTCTCACTTGAATGAACGTGAGCAATAAAATGAATTATCAAAAACTATGAAAAAATTTAAACAGGTACATAAATGGGGCAATCGTCCCGCCCCGCCTTAAAAGGGTAACAAAATGGGTATGGGACGGAATAATATCTGGCTGGGTGGAGGCCAACCCTATGTGAACCTTACTATCGAATATGCACAAATTATGGAGGAAATAGTGGCCATTGGCTGGTTGACTCGGCCATTTTTCCAAAGAGGCCTTTGACCAGTTAAAAAAAAAAAGGCAAAAATGTTTAAAATCTTGAAAACCAACAAAAACCAAGAGAAATCCAAATTTACCCTTACCATTTGAAAAAGAAATAGAAGACAGTAAAGAAAGTGAAAAATTATTGTAGCACCGTCGACTCAAGCACCGACTAAAAAGGAAAAACGGGAGACCCAGTTGGTCATTTCTCTCTCAAGAATGTAAGATTTTTATACTAAGAAAAAGTATGTTTTTATTTTACTTTTTGGAAAAAAGCATGATTATATATATATATATATATATGTGTGTGTGTGTGTGTGTGTGTGTGTGTGTGTGTGTGTGTTGAGAAATCCTTGTGTAAATATGAAATTTGGGTAAAAAAAAATTGTTTGGGAAGGGAAAAATGGAGTGGAGATCGTCGGAAATGAAGTTTTTCGACAATCTCCACGTTTTACCGTGGCTGGGGCCAGCTGGGCATGCCGTCTGGGCGCCAGGCGGCCCAGTCAACACCCTAGTTGACTGGGCCGCCTAGGCGACACGTTATTTGGGCTGTAGGCCTACAAATTTTTATTTTTTTATTTCCCGTAATTATTGATGTTAATTAAATAATTATTAATTGCTTATATTATGTTCTCTAATATTTAATTATTTATTTGAATTGTTTAATTTTAATTTATATTATGTATTTAAAATTATTTATTTGAAATGTAATATAGTTTTAAGTAATTATTTTATATTAAGTAATAGTAAAATAATTAAAAGAAATAACTACATATTAAATAAGTAATATATATAAAGAATTTAAATACATATTTAAACATTTGTAAAATAATAAAAATAAGCAGTTAAATTTGAAAATTAAAATATCAATCAAATTAATTTTTTGCAAAGCAATTAAAATAAATTTGTAAATATGAAATAAGCATTATGAGTAAAGAATTAAAATAAGTATTTAAACATTCATTAAAAATAAAAAATTAAATTAAGTGTTAGAAAAATATTTAAAATAAGCAATTAAAATATCAAAACAAGTTTTAGTAAAATAATTAAAAGATAATTAAATATTAAATAAGTAATATAT